ATGATGGGTCATGTTTATTGTCGCCACGGTGGATGGCAGGACCTGAAACCGGGCAGTCTGCTTGGAACCAGCTACCCTCACCCGGCAGTCACTGCACGCGTCTTGCATCGGGAGCGTGGCGGGAAGAAGAGGGGCCTGGAACTCTACAAACATTGTCCGTGTTCAGTATCGTTAAGGAACCGCGTGGTAGTTGAGGGCACTTCCCCTCCGTGCCGACCTGCAGAGTGGAGGGTCTGGAAGATTCACACTTGCTGCCTGAGCGGGTGTGCTCCCTTGCTCGCCCAGTGCTCAGGAGAAAGACCCGGGCGGTGTGGGACAGAGCTGTGTGCGTCTCAGGCCACCGATCAGCGGATCTGCGAGTCGCTGCGGGCTCCGCCAGGGTTAGTCAAGCCGAGGAGGGGCAGATGTAGCCAACAGATGGACTCGCCAACAGCTCCACGGCTTGGGCTTGCTGGAGCGGCAAGGTTCACAGCTGTGCTTGGAGGAGGGATTCACAAACGAGATCGCCGGCTGCCCAGGGCCCACCGGCAATCAGGTCAAGTTTTTTTTTTTACTATTCTGCTGCAGGTGGCATCTCAACTGGTGAGACCGTCTCTCCTTCCAGATGTAGCCAACAGATGGACTCGCCAACAGCTCCACGGCTTGGGCTTGCTGGAGCGGCAAGGTTCACAGCTGTGCTTGGAGGAGGGATTCACAAACGAGATCGCCGGCTGCCCAGGGCCCACCGGCAATCAGGTCAAGTTTTTTTTTTTACTATTCTGCTGCAGGTGGCATCTCAACTGGTGAGACCGTCTCTCCTTCCCAGCTGAAGCTCCTTGTCTGCACACTCTTGCTGGTACCATTTTCTTTTCCGTTCTCAATGATGCTTATATCCCGTCAGGCCGTTTTCCGACATCCAGTGAGTCTGCTTCACTGCCTCAGATCTGGAATGGCCTGCAGCAGACCTCTTCTGCCTAACTAAGCTGTGTGTAGACCTGGCCAATGCTATCTATCCAGCTGACCTGCAGTTGGGGAAACTGAGGCATGTCCATGGCCGAGTTGGGAATAGAACTCGGGTCACCTGATTCCCAATGCAGTGGCATAGCCAGATGAGGGAAAGTGGGTTCATGATCACAGCGGAGCAGCTGCTGAGATCCTGACACTGTTTCTGCTTTCTCGGGACATGTCTTTTGTTGTAAATATGAAGAACTACTGCACGGAGTTTTCAAATGTGAGGGCGTCGGTGCAAGCTATAACCTCTGCCTTTTGGGCATTGCTCACCTTTAACCCCTGTCTGTGCTGGGTATGCTGACGTATGGATGGAAGGGGAGAGTCTCTCTGTAGGTGTGGAAGCGAATGGATGAAAAGGAAGTAAATCTACTCCTGCAGTAGCTGATTTCTTTGTTGAGCTCTAGGAACCCTTTGTGTTTGCAAATCAGAGATGCCTATTACTAGCTGTAGGGTAAATGGGTTTTTTTTCTATGACAATTACACCCACTACGGATGGAATTAAAGTGATTTAATCAAATCTCGGGGAGTCGCTTCCAAATGACTGTGTCTCATGTGTCTGCCTGACCTGGTAGTTTTTCTCCATGAGTAGTTTGAAATGTGACCCAGCTGCCGGGTTCTTCTTGGTTTCCTGGGCCTTAATCCCTTACAAGAAATCCTGCTTATTATTTGTATTGAGTGCTGTTCGTGTGCTGGGTGGTGTAAAGCATCTCACTCGCTGGGTTGCTGCATCGAAGATTTTTGGGCAGGATTGTTTGTGCTTTCGCGACATATAGGTGATCTCCTTGGAAGTCCCAGGTCCCACGTTAGTTGATGGCTGTAACGTGCTTGGAACCCACCTCTTGCGAGCACCGTCCATTCCTTGGCAGTGTTTCTCTCGGCTGGTCTTAGGCAGCTCAGGCCTTACAGTCCACATTCTTTCTTGGCCCTGCTGTAGTGCTGTAGCTCTAAGTCTTTTTCCTGGAGCCTTTTTCCCTCACCCAACAGAGGCCCATCTTGGTATCCTCAACTGGTGTCCCCTTTCTGCAACTCTTCCCTCAGCTCAATCTTCAACTAGACCAGCAGGGCCCATCTTGGTATCCTCAAGTGGGTTGGCCAAGTTCTGCACTCAGCCTGCCCACACTGACTTTTCAAGGATCTGCTGCTCTTCCCTCCATCCTGGCATCCAGTCTTCCCTCTTCGAGTTCCATGCAGCAACTAACTCCTGCTCTATTCTGCAGCTTCTTTTATATGGCCCTCCTAAGCCTTGATCGACTGCTTCCCCTGCAGCCTCTCTAGCCTGCTTGGAGGATTTCTCCACTGATCCATTCCAGAAATGGGTGTGGCAGAGCCCTGAGGACTCCAGCAGTGGGCCTTTGGGCCTAGTCTACCCCATCACAGCGCCTCTTGATCCCTCTGAGGTGGTGGAGTCTTAATCCAGTGTCCTCAAATTGCAGCCGGGGCTCTAGAATGGCTTTCTCTGTGCCTAGTAACTATCACAAATTTCTGGCATGGACTTACATACCCACTATCTAAAATATCCCTTCCACTCTAAACAGAATAGCAGTCTGTCCCCTCCACTTAACTCCGATACTGGTTCGCGGGCGCGCCGCTTTTCCCCCCCCCCCCCCCCCGGCACTTTTTTGCCCTTTTTGGGGGGCGGGGTGTCTGGTATTTTTGGTGAAGCCATCTGGCAACCCTAATAATGACGTGGTCGCCAAAAGTGCCCATGACGAGCTAGCGTAAGGCAGACGAATTGCATTTCCTTTGCATGATGTGTCCTCTCCAGTCTATTGTCCACTGCTGAAAGGGGTGACAGTTGCAGAACTGGAATTCTCCAGGCCATCCTCATAAATTGTGGCTTCCAAACTCCAGGTTAACTTCCTACAGATTCTAGGGGTAAACCTGCCATCACCCCGTGAAGGCTCAGCTGAATTATGCAATGAATGTTTCTTGTCCTCCCAAGGAGCAGAACGGGGATAGCCACCATATGGGAGACCTGAAGATCACGGGAAAGGACTTCTTGTCTCTGCCTGTGAGATCCAAGAAATACCAAGAGAACCAGTCCGGTTCAGAGAGGAAAATCCAGGAGTCCCATTTGTCACCGGTGGATGCCAGTGATGTCCGAGTCCAGGTGTCTCAATCGGTAGGAAGATGACGGGCGTTTTTCGCCCCTTCTTTGAGCTTTTTATAAAATGTTCATTCTTGTCACATTTGTAACCTGACGGGATGGGAGGCAGTGTGGCCTAGTAGATAGAGCCCTAGACTCCAGAGATCTGGATTTTATTCCCAGTGCTCTGCTGGCCTGTAATATTTGGCAAATCAATTGACTGCTCCCTGCCTTAATTTCCCCCATTTTAAAATAGGGATAATGACCCTGACGTCTCCTTTTGAGACCTACTGATTACAAAAGGCCATAGAATAGTTGAGGATGATTATTAACACTAATGGGACTATTATGTGAACGATCCTATGGTTGTTTTCCGTTTGCTGTTTTCGCAAGAGAGGCGATCCGAATTTCTAAGTGTGGGGCTGTTCGCATGCCAAGTCACCATTTCGAGCAATTTTGTCAGCCTCCCTGTGCGGGGCCCTCACTGGATACAGACGAGGGTGCCTGCTCTTCAGGGGGCGGGGGCGGGGCACTTTTGGGGAATTGGACCCTTGTGGGGCATCCCCAAGTGAGCGGCCCAATCACAAGTCGCTTTTGGAGAAGCGTGGGCCAGGTTTTGTCCTGAGCCCGTCCCCAGGCTGGTGGTGGTGCTCTCCAAGGAGGCAGAGCTCTGGGTAGGCCCTGGGAGGTAGCCGAGTGCAGGCCTGCTGGGCGGGGGCAAAAGGGGCAGTTGCTCCACGGCTCCCAGACATGGCTACTGCGGTGGTGGCTGAAGCCCTGGGTCCTTGAAAGCATCTCCCAGAGTGCTGTGTGCTCTGGGTGGCTGTGAGTGCTGGGGGAGAGGAGGGATCATGCTGTGCTCCAAACGGTGTGGAAGACTGGTTGCCCCGCCCCTTGCACCTGAGGCTCCACCCCTTGCACCTGAGGCCCCGCCTCTTGCAGAAGTGAGGAACTGAGTCCTCTCTCCCACCGTGCCCAGGGGCCCGTGGGGGCTGGCGGCGCCCTGGCTGGTGGGCCAGCCCCTCCTCACTGAGGGTTGGCCGGTGGCTGCGCCGTACAGTCAGCAGAGGGGCTGGGCTGTGGGAACCTGGGAAAAACAAGCTGGCCTCAGCTGTGTTGAGTGAATGGCTGCGATGGTGTCGTCTGGCAATTACAGCGTCCGGGGTCAGCGGAGTTGCTTTGATTGACGCGGTTGGTCCCTGAACCGCAGAGTGTCCCAGTCTGGGGACCTTTGGGTGTGTTTGAAATAGATTGTCATCCCGGCACATCAGGCGGTTGAGCTGGTTTCCGATGGTGCTGATGGGCCCGGTTTCCACGGACGGGCAGCTGCGGGGTTATCCTGAGGAGGCTGTTGGGTTTGTATTCCACGCTGCAGCCCGGAGCCAGAGCCACAAATGGGAGCCAACAACCTCGCTGGGCACCTGAGCAATGGGGGGGGACGGGGCAGGGCCAAGGGCAGCTGGACCACAGTGCCCCCAGCCCTCAGCGCTGCCTGGATTGTGGGTTTCCCAACACGCAGCCCTGCCTGGAGCGCACCACACCTCCGCCTCCCCCGGCACCCCGAGAATCGCGTGCGGGGCACGGTGCAGTGATTTGAAGGGCTCAGGGATCCAGCCAGTTTGAATCGCCAGGCTGCAGGGCCGTTGCCTCTTCCCTCCTCCCTGTCAGGAGGCCTGGCCACAAGCAACTGCTGCAGGTCTCACTGCGGGCAAGGTGGCTTTGAAATGTTTTCACTCCGTGATCTCAAGTGAGGAGCTCTGATTCCAACAACATAAGAACGGCCGGACTGGGTCAGACCAAAGGCCCATCCAGCCCAGCGTCCTGTCTGCCCACAGCAGCCAGCGCCAGGTGCCCCAGAGGGAGTGAACAGAACGGGATCCTCACGTGATCCCTCCCCTGTCGCCCATTCCCAGCTCTTGACAAACAGAGGCTCAGGACACCATTCCTGCCCATCCTGGCTAATAAGTATTGAGGGACCTAACCTCCATGAATTGATCAAGCTCTTTTTTGAACCCTGTTAAAGCCCTGGCCTTCACCACATCCTCTGGCGAGGAGTTCCACAGGTTGACTGCACACTGCATGGAAAAAAAAAGCCCTTCCTTTTGTTTGTTTTAAACTTGCTACCCATTCATTTCATTTGGTGACCCCTCGTTCTTATGTTATGGGAAGAAGAGCTGGATAAGTTCACAGAGGATAGGTCCAGCAATGGCTGTTAGCCAACATGGGGAGAGCCACAGCCCTATGTTCCAGATGTCCCTTGCTTCTGAGTGCCAGGTTCCGGGACTGAATGGCAGGGGAAGAGATCACACGATAACTCCCTGTTCCGTTCATTCCCTCGGGGACATCTGGCATTGGCCAAAGGATCCTGGGCCAGATGGACCTTTGGTCTGTCCTAGTGGGACCATTTTTATCACGTTCTTATGATTCCCAGGGTGGCTGTCCTGTGCGCCGGGGGGGCGGTTAATTTAAAGACGGCAACGGGCCCTGTGGAACCGTGTGGCTCTTCGGGAGCGCTCTGTTCTCGTGCACTCGCACGGCGCCGCGGGGTTTGGGTTACAGACGCGTACGGGGAAACGCAGGCAAATGCAGAAAGAACAAGCAAGCAGAGGGGCCTGTTCTGTTAGCATTCAAAACACTCACCAGAAGAACGGGACGCAAAAGCTGTTTGTGTAGCTCCAAATGAACTTGAGCTGCAGCTCTTGGATCTAGACTCCCCTTCCCTAGGGCTCGGGGTCCTGGGTTTATCTCAGGTGTTCCCTGGATTGCGGCTACTGGTCAGAGAACAGGGCTGGGAGCCGTGGCCTGCCCTACACAGGCCCTTTACCCCGACTGTGTCCCTTTGCGAGAGCTCTCGGAGCTGAGATCCTGTTCCCAGGCAGCACCTTGGGAAACGAGTCTCCGAGGAAGAGCGCTTTCCTCGGTTTACCCGCGCAAAGCTGGACACCAGCAAGGAAAACAAAGCTCAGCAAGCCGAAGAGGAGGTGGGGGCAGCAGAAGGAACACAAAGACCAAGAGAAAACATTTCTGCCAGAAATAGCCTTGTATTTTTAACACCAACAGGCAGCCAGCAACCGAACAAAAGCCCAGCTCCAGCAAACGGTCAGGCAGACCACGTCTCCCTCCCCCCAGGAGCGCAGTGGCGAGGATGCAGGCTGCTGCGTGTGGTAAAAAAGCCCCCCCTGACCATCCCGGCCTGACGAGGGCCTTGTGGCAGTCTTGTCGCAGAAAAGCCAATCTGTCTGCCAGCGACTCCTGGGAGGAGGGGAGGGGGCTGTTTGGCAGCTGCTATGAGGCTGAGATCCAGGATCAAACCCAAACTTGTAGCCACTTCGGTTTTCCCCTCCCCAAATGCACAGGCACGCACATGCTCACCAGCTGGCAAGAGTCAGTGCTCACACGTGGGTTCTCACACGCACACTCTGTACTTAGTGCTGTTTCGCAGGGAGGGAACGGCACTTTGCAGGCCAAAAAGACCAGTCGCTATTGCCGAGTGTAGACTAGGGATGCAAAAGGTTTAACCGGTTAACTGATAAGCATCCGCTAATCGGTTTCCATTACGGTTGAACTCCCACAGTGCAGCTGGCTCCCAGGGAGCGGGGCTGGCAGCCAGGAGCTGATGCGTGCTGGGAGCCGGGTTATAAACTGGGAGTGGGGCTGGCAGATTGCTGTGAGCCTGGCAGCTCCGCTCCTCCAGCTGCTAGCACCGCTCCCGGGGAGCCGGCTGCAGCCATCCTGCGCTGCGGACTTTGAAGTATAAGCCTTATACTGCAGCACCTGCAGCATGGGGCGGCAGCCGGCTTCCCAGGAGCCATAGGGGCATCTATCCCCATCCTTCCCTCCCTGGTCCCTCCCAGCCGTAGATCCCCAAACCTCGTTAACTGTGTAACCACTAGGATTTTTAACCGTTGCACAGTTACCGTTTTTACGCCTTTTCTACCGCCCTAATGTGGACAAGGCCTTCGTGTTGGTAGGACCCGGCCCTCGGTTATACACATGTTCGTTTTTTAAGGGCATGATCATGACACACGTGCAAGCAGGCAAGGGAATTCCAGTTCCCAACGTCATTAGGGGAACCAGACAGCGCCTCACTGGGGACTTGTCTCTCCTGGGCAGGGGTGAGGAAGGCTTTGCCTAGCTATTGGCAAACTAATGCTGATGCCAGCTGCACTCCTGAGGCAAAAGCCCCTTCTCTGTCCTTGCACCGATCGGGGCTCCTGGCCTTGCAGCCTGCTCTGGATTTCCAGGCTGAGGTTTGGCGTCTGTTCGCCTTGTGGCCGAGGAAAGACAGGCGTGCGTGGGCTGGGGGGGTGGAACGCCGCGGACAAGCCCCAGTCTGTTCCCTGCACGCACCGAGCGTGGCCCCTCTGGCCCTGCCCCAGCCGAGAACAGACCAGCCCCTGAGGAGTGCCTAGGCTGAACGGCGAAGGCGGCCCCCCGGCTTGTATTTGAAGGGGAGTCCCTTATTTGGCAGCGGATGGAAGAGCTGAGGCGTGCGTGGGCTGGGGGGGTGGAACGCCGCGGACAAGCCCCAGTCTGTTCCCTGCACGCACCGAGCGTGGCCCCTCTGGCCCTGCCCCAGCCGAGAACAGACCAGCCCCTGAGGAGTGCCTAGGCTGAACGGCGAAGGCGGCCCCCCGGCTTGTATTTGAAGGGGAGTCCCTTATTTGGCAGCGGATGGAAGAGCTGGCAAGGACGGAGCATTTGCCTGGATTTGTTTTCAAGCAGTAGCCATGCCCACGGTTACACGCTGGGACCCACCCGGGCTTTGGTGCCAGGAATGCGTCAGTGGGGGCTAGTGCCCCGACGGGGGCTGGTTCTTCTCCTTGCCCAGAGCATGTTTTTATCTGCCTGCCTTTTCTTTCTTTGCAATGGGGGCGCTTGCCACGAAGGACGGGGAGTGTTTAGCAGAACGCCAAAGTTTCCTCTAGTCACTGGCAGTGGGATGCTCGTGACGTCCCCAACTTCCCAGCAGGGGGTGCTGTACCCGCTCGCTAGGGCTTGCCCCTCTCTTCATACCCAAAAAACGATGCGCAGTATTTTTATTTCCTTTTTGGAAGAAGCCGAGACT